TCCATTCTCTCAGGATTTTGGGTATGCATACACATGTGCCCACATGATTTCAAGCCACCAGATCCAGGACTTGAACCATAATCAGCCATGTGGAAGTACAGTGCCTTAACTATCACAGTACCTGTGGGCCCAAACTTTATTTTTTTTAAGAGGATGGCATAGTGGCTTTTTCTTAAGGTTTTGTTTGGAAGAAGACATGCCACTGGCATATTTGGATGATCCAACACTCTCTGTAAAGTGTTTTTAATCTTGTACAGTTTGTTTTTTAAATTTCTTGTGTTTGTTTAGGTTTCAGTTTTTGTAATTAATTTTTGTGATTTGTATCTGGCCTCATAATTGAATTGCCTTCATAAAGGCCTTGGACTCTCAGGTTAGTAAGTCAGACTTTCTTTATTGTGTTGTTTTTTTTTTTTTCCCTTAAGTGCCATAGATTTTACTGTTATATGGCCACTTAAAAGAAATGTGATGGCTTTGTGAACATATTAATCTGGACCTAAACTGCTGTACTCTGAGCGGGAGGTAAGAATGAAATGGAGATGAGCATATCCACATGCAAGTAACATCAGTCGGAAGAAAAAAAAAGTGGGCTGGGAGGAGGAGCACCTCCTTGGAAGGCTGGAGGCTACCATTCTAGCGTGATCGTGATTCAAAATACCTTCCAGCAGCATGTGGTGGTGAATTCTCTGGCTTCCGTGACTATCCTCTCCATTGACCTGATAAATTTACTTATAAATTGCTTATATGATGAGTACGAGGTATGAGTTGCTGGTACCATTGTAACTTTATTTTTGCTTTATGAAAAGTAGCTATTTGTGGAGCCAGCAGGTGGCATGGTGGGTAGAAAGTAGACTCCCACATGGCCAACCATGTTTCAGATCCCAGACCTAGCAGCTTGCTCTCTCACTTTCCCTTTCTCTCTCTCTCTGGTCAAATTTTTAAAATAATAATAATAACAAATGGAAATAAATAAATAAATAAATCATTCTTTTTTCTTTGCTTTTTTTTTTTTATTTAAGAAAGTTAGCTATTTGAAACATAATTTTCAAAGTTTACATGCAGAACTAAGTTTCTGAATTCTGATCTTCCATAGGTATTGTGATGGGTTGAGGGTCACATAAGTCACTGCTGTCAGTGTGTGTGTGTCACTGTGTGGCCCCTGTATAAAGCTCCATACCTTCTCTTTGCAGGCCTGCATCCCTCAGCAGCAGCTGAGCTGTTTGTTACTGGCCCTCTGCCAAGCACCGGGACACTTCCGCCGACTGCCCTCTCTGCTTATCAGCATCCCACCACCTTCAGCAATAGAAACTTCACCACCACCTCACCTTTGGTGCTTCAAGATTCAGATTTCAACACTACAGCCAACGGAATTTTAAGTCCTCACGACCCTTTGCTACAGATCAAGACTTCCCAGGGAACTGTTCCAACTGCTTTGGCATTTGAGCGCCTGGGCAGTTCTGCATTAAGTAACAGCATGCCACCGCAGTCTTCAACATACCGCTCTGCTCAGGAGTCTGCACCCCATCTTTTACAACCTCAATTTAGTTTGTTGCCTTCTGCACTTGGGGGAGCCCAGCCAACTCCTCAAGCCTACAGTTCAGCTCTCTTTACTGGTTCTGCCGCTTCCATCGAAAGGGCTCTTCTTCGAGAATGTAGTGTTATTAAACACCATCCGCGGCCTTCAGGTACCCAGTCTGTTCCAGCACAACTGACTGGACCCCGGCATTCTTTGCATGGTTACCTGTCAAACACAAGTCTAGTTAATTTTCAGGAAACAACCAGGCAGCCATCTTTATCTTGTAGCCCGGCTGGAGATTCCACTCAGTCGAGCAGTGGGGGCTTGCAGCAAAAGGCCTCACAGGTCTCGGTGGAACTGGCTCCATCTTACTCATCTGCACCTCCATCGTCAGGGTATCCTCCTTCCACTACAAAAGTAAACAGTTGTTCTACACAACAACCACTAACGGCAACTAAGCCCCCCAAACCTCAAAGTATAATTCCTCCCATGCAAACACTAAGCTATTGCAAACCTTTACACAACCAGAGTTCGGTGATATCGGGCCAAGCACAGATTTATTCCACAGCGCAGCTACCAAGCCTGTTATCAGTTAGTCAGTCCCAAAATTATGGTTTAGTTCAGCCACATAATGTGCCATCTATCGTTCATTCACAGGTTTATCGGGCCAGCAAAGTTGAGAAATTGCCACCCTTATATAAAACGTTGACTTTTTCTGGGTCATCTCAGACTGTAGCTTCAGAAAACCAGACCCTTAGTTACTCATCTAGTCAGCCAGAGGTATTGTCCTCAGTTACAAACGAGAATTTCCCTGCTCACACGAGAGGTGCATCTGCGGTCAGTCAGTCTCAGAGTTACTCATCCGGTCATTCTCAGGGTTTATCACCAGTTAGCCAGACACAGGTCAGTTTCTCATCTCAGTCACAAGTTCTGTCAGCCGTTAGTCCTCCAGAAAGCTATGCTTCAGGGCAGTCCTTGACATTAACAGTCCCTTCCCTGTCTTACTCTTCTGCCTCTCGGGCTCAGAATTTGCCAGATTCTAGCCCAACCCAGAACTACATATCTGTGCATTCTTCCCAGAGTGCTCAGCCCGAAGGGCCATCCTCCCCACAGTCCCACAAGTTTCTTCCTGCTGTCCAGTCACCATCCTTCGCATCCTCTGCTCATCGTCAGACATTACAGAACAACATCCCTTCCCCTGACCCAAAGTCTTACGCTGAAAGAAAACTTGACTCAAATGTCTACACAACCTCGAAGCAAGATGGCGATTTTCCAGCGCGAGAATTACAGGGGCTGCAGCCACAGGCGTCTCTTGAGTCGTCAGCCCCAGGGCTGTCTGATGGGGACGTCAGTGCGCAGGAATCCAGTTATAAGGTACCCGAGGCAGATGACAGATTCTCTCAGAGCGTAATCAGAAGTAATGCCCGTCTTGAAGATCAAGTTGCTGGGATTGCTCTCCAAGGGTCAAAAAAGGAAGAGAACGTGGCTACGTCAGTCCCACAGCTCAACCAGCAAATTGGCCAGGTCAATAATACAACAGCTCTTGATCTTAAGAAGGCAACCAGCTTAATGCAGACTCCACAAATACAGGTGAATGCTAAAGACTCGAGCCAGCAGCATTCTCTTCTATCCAAGGTTCGTGAAGCCAAGGTCCAGGAACAGCATGATCAAATAATTAATGCCTCATCTCAGATTCCCGTTCCAAACCATTTAGGGCATGGGCATCACGCAGCTCTTCCTAATGCACAAGTTCTTCTGGATTCTGCCTGCGACCTGCAGATTCTCCAGCAGTCCATACTACAGGCAGGGTTAGGACAGGTGAAGGCATCTTTACAAGTGCAGCGTGTCCAAAGCCCCCAACAGATGGTGCATCCTTTCCTTCAGATGGACGGCCACGTCATTCAGAGCAATGGTGACCATTCTCAACAGCAGCTCCATGCTCAGCATTCCGAGATGATGAAAATGGACCTCTCTGAGTCTTCGAAACAAGAGCATCTAACAACAAAGGGCCATTTTAGTGAAACAAACCAACACGATTCAAAGAATCAGTTTGTTTCCCTCGGATCATTATGTTTCCCAGAGGCCATGCTTCTCAGTGATGAAAGAAATATTTTATCCAACGTAGATGATATCTTTGCAGCCACAGCAGCCGCTTGTGGGGTCACACCTGATTTTTCCAAGTCAGCTTCAAGTGAAACCATGCAGGCCATTGAGGATGGCGATTCTAAGCCTCACTTCCAGCAGCCTTTAGATGTCAGGCAGGTGACTGCAGATTTTAGCTCCATCGCAGCTGCAGTCGGAAAGCCCCAGAATATAAATGACATTTCCTTAGGTGGAAATCAGGTTGCTGTGAACCTGTCGTCTGCACCCACCCTTCAGTCCAAAGTGATGCTCGACTCTCAGCCGCAGACTGAAGCTCCTGGTCAAGCCGTACCGACGACAGTCACTTCTGCGACAGTCGGTGCAAGTCCTGAAGCCCAGGAGCCAAGTTTTGACCCTTTCAAAAAACAGCCTGCTACCCATCAGGAATCCGAGGAGGACGGCGAGGATCCTGCTGATAGCATGGTAGCCAGCGGCGGAAACCGAGAGCTTGTTTCCAGTAGTAGGAGCGTGAGCGGTGAGAGCGCCATGTCCGAGGGTGAGCTCCCAGGGGGCGGTGACAGTGCGGCCGCCCCGAGCAGGAGCAGGAGCAGGAGCGCACTCCCGCCGGCTGTGGCGCAGCCCGGAGATCCCGCCAGTGCCAAGACGGAGGAAGAGAACCACGATCTGGTGCTTTTTAACCTTCAGAAGAAGAAAGCTAAAAAAAAGGGCCCCGCCGGAGAGGATGACGCCGGCCAGCAGAAACCGCTGAGAAGGCCCGGTCCCGGCAAGCGGCAGAGCCCAAGGGCAGCCGACCTGGGCCCGGGCCCGCCCGCCGGCGCCGAGAGCTGCCACGACGCCTACCAGCACCAGGAGAGGATGCGGCAGAAGATCAGAGAGGTGGAGGAGAAGCAGCCCGAGGTCAGGACCGGCTTCATTGCTTCTTTCTTGGACTTCCTGAAATCCGGACCCAAGCAGCAGTTTTCCACCCTTGCGGTGAGGATGCCTAGCCGGGCCCGACGGCCGGGGCCCCAGGTCGCTCGCTCGTCCTGCCCCCCGCCACTTCTGAGGGCCTCCTCTGCAGCGCCCACCTCCTCGGCGCCCGAAACAGGGAGTAACAGCCCACCAGGAAAAGCGGATGACGAACTCAAGAACTTGGAGCATTCTTCGTTTTCTTCGGATGAGGAAGATCCCAGAGCGAGCAGTCACGATGGTCAGAAAAGCAGCTCTGCACTCTTACCGGCTTTGGACACTGCTTCTGACAAGAAGAAAAGAGCAGGTAAAGTTTTAAAATTAAGATTCACAATTATAACTTTATTATTATTATTATTAGCTATAGTGGCATGTTAAAATTTTTTTTTTTTTTTTTTTTTTTTTTTTTTTTTTTTTTTAAGCTTAAAGCAGGTCTGCACATTTTGAGGACAATGCATGGATAGGTGTCCCGGGGGCTCACGGTTGAAATTGTCCTTGCCTTCTGAGTCTTAGGTTGAGTGGTCCTGGTTTTTCCTGACCTTCTGCCACAGCAGCATGGTTTGTGCAGCGTGCTATCATATCTCTAACCCACATGCCTCGTGGCCATGAAGCCTTGTCGGGGCCCTGTTTTAGTATAAAGCTGCGTACTTTCTTCGTATGCCCATTTGACTCAGTGATCTTACAGTAAAATAAGGTTATGTATGTACATCATGCTTATTAATGTAATCACAATAAGAGTTTAGAATTCTGTGCTGACTCCAAACTATTGACCAAATTCTTTTGGCCATGTGTTCCACTTTCTTTGATTAATGGACTTCAGTAGAAATGTTTGAAGAATCACTGTCTTCTATAAACAATGGACAGGTAAGTATAAAAGTTACCCTACTAAGGAATATGCCAGGGGGAAGTGCATGTAATGGTAATGCAGCCCCCACTCTGTGCAAGGGGCTGGCAGCCATGTTGTCGCTAGTACGTGAGGATATTGTAGCTGAAGGGCAGATACACGGCTGGACGGGAGAGCTGGTAAGTGATAGCTGGAGTTGGGCTTGGGCCTGCCTGGTGCTAGCCTGTACTCCTGCCTAGGTCTTTGTGTAAATCCCTCTCGATTTAAGATTACCTTTAATAACTGAAGTAATATGACACAATGGGCATCCCAAGTAATCCATTGTTATAGTTCATTTCTCAAGAATTTTCATTTGGTGGGACCAGCAGTTAGCGTAATGGCTATGTCGCTGGACTCCCACGTAGTCGACTGTGGTTCGCATCCCAGACCCGGTGGCTTAAAACTCACGCTGGGTGCATGTGCATGCATGCCCAAGATCATGAGAAGAGAATGGAGGAGAAAGGATTGTGGCGTGGCCATCCCCCCTGGGGGGTGATTTCTCACTTTCTGTCTCTCTCTGTCTGGCGAGCACACACTCCCTATAGCAAAAAAACTCTAAAAAAAAAAAAAAGAATTTTCATTTGGTTACACAAAGAAATGAGCATAATGGAAAGTCAGTCTTAGCTTCAGAAACATTACTGTGGATGCGGCTAACTAATCCCAGTAAGGTTTTCACCGCATCACACGCTCCCTGCCATTCAGACTGTCTTCGTCATGGCTATTATATTCCCTCTTCCAATCCTCAAGCAAAGTTTTTGTAATCTCTTTCCTAAAATGTGAGTCCAGAGCTAGTTTCTTCCAGATAGCCCATGTCTCACTTTAATTAAAGCCATCACCATCAGCTCTGTGAGGTCATCGTCACCCCCAGGGCCTTGTCTGAAGACCTCGGCCTCTCTCCCTATACCACCCAACAGGCTGCTCCAAAGACCCTCCTCGCCAGCCCGCTTTCCACGCTGCCATCTTGCTGGTCATTGTGAAAAAGGAAAACTGAGTGTTGCTCCAGCTTGCAGGAGGAAATGAGGCTCTCCCCTCTCCCTCCACGGCAGCTGTTTCTCAGGGTTCTGAGCACCGGGCCTCTTCACAGTGTGAGCCTTTGGACAGATTTCCGTGCCTGGACTGCCCCTTTCTCTGTTTCTGAGTCTAACAGATACTTGGTTATCATTCCAAGACTGTTTTCAAAGTCATTGTGTGGAGTGTGCCAAATTAGTGATCTTATCCGTGGAATTCCCATGGCCCTAAATGTCTGTGAAAGCATTTACTTCTGCATTTTCATTTATTCATTTCCATTTGAATATATTTTATCAGAGTGTGAGTTTCTTTAGAACAGCGAGGGCATGGTTAATAATTTGGGTTTAAGAGTTAAATCACCGAGGGTTCAAATTCTGGCTTATTAGCTGTGTGACTTCAGACATGTTCCTCTGTAAAATGGGGACAGTGGTCCACAGTACAGTCCCCCTTTGGTAGCGTCTGAGACTCTGAGACTAAAGCACTTAACGCAATCCCTGGACTGCAGGTTCAGTTGCCATACTGTGTTTGTTCTGTGTTAGTAAGACCAAGACACAGTGGTGTTTGTTATGTGTCGGCTGCATGAAGGGGTGTAAGAGAAAGCGGACCGTCAAGGCGACCGTGAGTTAAAGCTAAGAGCCAGCCTTTGGTTTCCTAATTTTGTCACTAGAATTCCTGAGTTTCGTACACATGCTGTACCATGTCAGACAGTTTAAATGAGGCTACGAAGAGGATGTGAAGGGCTTCGGTACCCCAAGTTCCAGGGCTCCATAAATAAGCTAAAACATTCCAGGGGGAGCCAGCAGATGGCATGGTGGTTAAGGCGCTGCACTTGGAGCTCCACACCCGGTGGCTTAAAAATCACACTGAGTGTGTGTCCAAAATTCCAAGAAAACAATGGAGGACAAGGGATTGTGCCTTGGCCATCCCCCCTGTGGGTGATTTCTCATTTTCCCTCTCCTCTCTCTCTCTCCAGCAAGCACACACACCCTTTGGCAAAAACCTAAAAAACATTATTTTAAGAACCACTGGTGATATCTTCAACTGATGCTAGCTTCTACGTAGCTGTGATGTTCTCAGGGACACGAACCTCTGACCAATCTTTCTAGACTGCTAAGCCTTCTTCACATGTGAAGAGATGTTCCTAGTGGTGCATAAAGCGTGTATTGCTTGCTCTGAAATAACGGTGTTTTCTAATACAGTTTGTGATGGAATAATTGTACCTTAAAAATTATTTACGTATTTACTGTCACCATAGGAATGAATTACGGAAACCAGTGGAGCCTTACCTGAAAATAAAGGCTAGGCTCCTTCAGCCAAGACCCATAGTTTCTCTAATGCTGTGGTTTCTGTGTTTGCATTAAAGTGACCAGTGGGCCACAGAAAGGGAGAGCCACACGGCAGGCACAGGTGCTCCAAAGGCCAGTCAGCAGAAGACCCCAGGAGGCGGACTGCGGTCACCATACCCCATTGCAGGGTGCTTTCTCCCTCTCGCTCTCTCTAGCAAACACACGTGCTCTCTGACAGATTTTTAATAAATAAAATAACAAGAAATACAGTAAATAAGCCAGTAGCAGCCATTTATGAAGTTCTGTGAGGCGGACAAAATTATGTGCTGTGCTCTCATACAGCTGGCAACATAGGCGGCTGGGACTACCTGGGGTTGGACGTTTGTGACATCCACGGGGCACCAGCGCCAGGAGTTTGTCAGCGCTGTTGCAGTTTCCTGGGACCACCGCAGTCTGTGTGATCTGTATTGGCCACAGCACCGTCTGGCATGAGGGCGTGTCTTTCAGTTTTACTTTACCCACGGTGAAGAGCACCCTTGCCAGTCTTGCCATGCCGGGGTCCCCTTTCCCTGCAGCTCGTCCAGACCGGCACAGGCACATCCCAGCATGTTCTGGTCCAGCCTGGGCATCTGCACCTGCTGTCAGCCATGGCTTCTCGCATGTGGTTTGCTTTGTCGTCAGCTGTGCCACCAGTCTGGGCCTCTTATCTCTTTTTAAGTTAGTTCCTTCCTTCTTTCCTATCCCCCACCTTCTTGTGAGAGAGACAGAGATAGAGACCACTCCCAGTAGGATCTCACACTGCTGTCCCCCAACCTTTCCCAGCCAACCATGGTCACAGGCCCCCCAGTGTGTACAGGGTGACCAGGGATCCGAACCCAGATGTTTGCATGTGCTCGCTGGAGAGACAGAGAGACAGAAAGAGAGAGATCACAGCCCCCCACCCCGCGAAGATGGCTACACTGCAATCCCTTCTCCCTTCTCCATTCTCCCCTCCGGATTTTGGGCACGCATGCACACACACATACCCACAGTGTGAACATCAAGCTTCCAGGTCTGGGATTCAAACTGTGGTTGGCTATGTGGGAATCAAGCAACATAACCATTACACTATGTGCTGGTCCCTAAATGGTTCTTTTCTAAATACCAAACTATTCTTCTTTATTTGCTTCTGTTATTTTTGGTTAATTTTTATAAAAACTTCTGGTTTTACTTGAATTCTTCTCTGTCTTCCTTGGGTTTAGTTTAATGTTCTCTTTATTGTGTTTATGTCTAATGAATGGCATATATGCGCAAGATTGTTTTTAATACCACACAATGGTTTCAGTTTAACTATCTTTTTACATTGTTTGTCATTTCAGTTTCTATTTTATTAATCCTGAAGTTATAAAGAGTGGACAGGGTTTTTATTTCTGTTTCCTAATATTATCTTCCTTGTAAAAATTAACTGACGGCTCTGTCGAATTATGTTCAGGGAGCATATGTACATGTTGATATTTTTGTGAAATTGTTAGTGGCTTGGCCATTCGGCAGTTTTTATAAATATCCTGTGAGTGCTAAGTTAATAGATTTTATTTGCTAATAGTACTCAAATGTCCTATACCTGTGTATATTTCATTTACTATAAGTGACATTGTTATATAAGAAAACATATATATTTGGAGGTAAATGGTTTATGTGGAATTTGCCTTAAAATACACCCCAGCAAGCTGTATACACCAGTGTGTGCCTGTAATTGCGTCTCCTCGGGAGGCTGATTGGGATTGGAATTATCAACGAGTGTCAGGACAGCTTGAGCAAACTAATAAGATCCTGCTCCCCCAATGAAATCTAGCAAATATGTCAAAGAAGTGTTGGCTAGATGAAACAACTATTCCAAGATGTTTCTGGTAGTTGTAGTTGGGTTATAGTACGTAAATACATAAGGGTTTGTATTTTCTATTTTTGTGTATATTGAAGATTTTATAATCTTTTTATTATTTAAATCCTCTCTATCCTTATTTATTTTTAGATTGCTTGATCTGTTGATTCCTGAGAAAGGTGTGTTACAGTTTTCCATTATGTTTTACTGTCTTTCTAATATTTTTACTTAATGTTTTGAACCAATGTACTTAGGTGCATAAAATTACATTA